GATCCCAGAACTTGGAGTGACACACCATTAACCGTAGTACTAAGAAGGTGGAGACAAAGGGATATGGCTGGGCAGAGAGAATATAAAGCAGGAGGAAACAGGAGCTCAGGGTTAGTCTGAAGCAGTTTGAGAAGGCAGTCTGAGGACAGGATGGCCCCTTCAGTCTGAGTAGTGGTTGGCTTCTCTGATCTTTCAGCTTCCCCCACCTCACCCCCAATATCTGACTCTGAGTATTTATTATTGAGACCAATTAGAATCATGCTACAACTACCCTCATCTCCCCACTCCTTAACCTTCTCTTATGTAACTGTTATAAAAGAAACTCTGCCCAGCTCCTGGTTGGAGATGTAATCATTTACATTTGTCTTTAGAATAGATAAAATGTCTCATTTTATATATGATTAATTATATCAACTTTGTTTTGGTAGTGGGATATTTTTTTTTCTTTCTGGTCTGTATTTGTCAGCTTGGGCCTTTGTGTTTCAAGTCAGAACCTATCCCCAGGTGCCTTATACTCCATGACTTGGCCTTCTATGAAAGAGTGACTACCCAGAAAGCTGATGGAAAGAAAGCTCTGGCTTCCTGATGAGCTGAAGTGCAGGGCCATTAGGGCCAGAACCTTGACTGTGTATATAATCATCTAAAAGCATTTTAACTCAGACTCGCCTCTCTAGAAACAGAATCCCCAAGGTCTCGTCTAAGTGAGCAGAGAAGTAAGTGTGTACCATCCTTTCTGGATCCTAAGTGAAGAGGACTAAGACCTTAGCCTTCAACATCTGCCACTTCTGTCTCTCTTCTTTTACCCTCTGCTTTCCAGTGTCAGGATTTCTCATTCCTTTTCCCCTTTAATGTTCCCTACCCTCTTCAGATAGGACAGTTGCTCACACACTGCATTGAGGAGAGTCCTTCAGATCGTGCACTCTGTATAGTCTTTCAGGCGTTAGTTACATTTGTTTATGCTCTGGCACATTTGTTTTAATGATGCAAAGATGTGTTGAATTCTTAGATGTTGCAGTTTTTTTTTAACTCTGTGAAGCTGTGTTTCTTTGCCCATCTAAAACACCTGATTTGGTCTAATAAACAGCTGATAGCTGGGCAAAGAAAGGCTAGAGGGGACTGGTAGTCAGAGAGAATAAATAGGAGGAGAAATCTGGGAAGAGAGGATTGGGGAACAAGCAGAGGAGAAGAAGAGGACAGACTTCAGAGGCCAGCAGCCACCCAGCTATACAATCGACAATGGAGTAAGATAGAAAGAAAAGATACACAGAAATAGAGAAAGCTAAAAGCCCAGAGGCAAAAGATAGATGAGATAATTTAAGTTAAGAATAGCTGGCTAGAAATAAGCCTACCTAAGATCAGGCATTCATAAGAAAGACTAAATTTCCAGTTGTGATTTATTTGGGAGCTGGGTATCAGCCCCCAAATAATAAATAAATAAATAAAATTGTAACTTGAAAAAAGTCTCCTATCTCTTTATGAGGGAAGTGTACAGAGTGCAAAGTGATGACTCAGCTCTTCCATTTTATACAGCTGGAGAGAGGGGTCTTACTCAATGCCACCTTAAAAGCTGCCAGAGAGCATCTTCTGAGAGCCAGTGAATGTGTGAATTACAAGGGAAAACACACAGGTGCTACCTCTGCTTCCTAATGACTTGGAAAACACTAAC